CCTCTGCAGGTATTTTCTGATATCTGCACTTACTGACAAGACAGACAAAAAGAAAGCCTCTCACAACAGGTATGGAAAAAGACTTAGAACTTAGTCTGTAGCTTCTTGAGCAAATGACATCTCACAGAGAGAACGTGTTGGCCACATCACTTCATCCATGTATAACATGAGGAAAAACTTTGCAACTTCTATAGGGAAAGAAATTTTAGATTCACACTCTCCCAAACAAAACAAACAAACAGATGAAAAGAGGCTGCAGTAGTAAAACGTGTTTGTCCTTCACTCACAGAAGAACTGAGAAGCGCGGAAACAGCAGCAGGAAACCCCTGCCATCTGCAAATACAGTACGCCACAACAGTCCAGAGCAGATCTGCACGTAAGGTAAATGATCTGCTTACTGCATTTCAAAAAGGCAACGCAGTCAGTGTAAAGAGAAAGCTTGCATTCCATCCCACTAGATTGCATTCTGACATCCAGCAAGACTATTTCAGGCATCATGGGAAAACCTAATCATTCCTTTTTGTCAAGTACTATTCAAGTGAGAACTACTAAATTACTAGTATTTTCAACAGACAAAACAAAATATATGCACAATATTTGGCAAAACTGGGATGCCAAAAAGTAGGTGAGATTTTGTAGGTAGCCTAACACACTGGCATCTACCAACATGCTGAATTTATTCACTGCTAACACTTCCCCATGCAGCACAAAGACAGGAATTTTACAGGCTGGTAACGACGGAGCTGTGAAGCAGCCTGCACCACTACTTTTCACAGCATATTCTAAGCATATTCTCTCACTTGGCCCTAAAATAGAATGGAACTGTCTCCAGATTACCACTTTCCCAGTTGTCAGTTCAACATACCAGTAAACCAGTTATGGAAAATCAGACAGAATCAAAATACCTTAAAGAAAAATTTAGAATGATGAATGATGTACGTGGAAGTACAGTAATTCCCAGTTTGTCCAAATAGTTAATCCAGCACTGCCTAATGCCTATTTTTTTCTGCCTGCCCTTACCATCCCTCAAATAAATAAGCAAAGAAAGAAAAATAGGGGTTTTAGATTAGTTGACTGAAGACTTTGACAGTGAGTATAAACTTAAGCCCTTACAACATATTCTAGCTTTTCTTGTCACTAAGGCTAAAATTAAAGCGTGCTTTAAATGTACATTAAAAAACAGTGATCATCTTCAGATAATCTTTTTAAACTTCAAATTCAAGAAGTGCATTTTGTATAAAATTGACTTTTCTCTACTTAAAATTTTCAAGTAATTTACTGAAATGTCTTAGTAATTTCATCATCAACCTTTATAATAGTAATACCTATGGAAAACTCTCTTGCTAAACGGAAATGGAGCCACCTAAGCCAGACATGCAATAAATAATTCAGTTTTCAACATTAAAATCTCATGTACTACACTTGTGTTTTTAAAATGTACAGATTTAAAATGTAGACATTTAACCTATTCTTTTACAGAGCGCATTTTTTCTATGGATTGCTAACAGTTATTTTGATTCTGCTCTTGGTAATTTTTACGATAAACTGAACCCGCATTTCACGCATTTATTCTGACAACACAAGATAGTACAGCAACACATACCCAAAATTACTGCCAACAGGGCACTCGCCCTGCACTCAGGTGGTCAGATGGATCTTTCTCACTCACGTGACATCCCACTGACTTCACTGTTTATCTGGACATAAGGGTTCCCCTGTGGGAATCAAATGGCTAAATTCGGATATGAACCAAGGGCAGGACAAGAAGGCTTTTCCTGGATTGCCACATAGTGTTCTATGGCATTTGTTTGCTCTCACCTGCCAAGGAAACAGTATGGGAGCTGTAATACGAAGTAGGTCTTGCTGCCCACAGCACACACAGTTGCTGGATGGCTGTATCTGCTTCCCTCCTCACAGCAGCCTTGCTGAAAACCCGCAAAGCTGCCAGTGCCTCTTTCATGCCAAGTCAGAAAACACCTCTCCTCCCATGAGGCATAATGCTATTTATTTACTGTTTGCTCTTTCAAGTGATTTTTCCTCCTACAGTTTTACCAAAGAGGAGGAACAGAAAAAGAAAATATATTTATTTTTCTCACTAATAATAAAAATAACTCTAATAAACAACTTTCTTGGAAACTCTTTTTTACTTGCTCATTTGCAAGTATCATATTTAGCATGATTTGACACATTTGTTGTATCAGTTACTTTTAACAAACACATTCTCTGTCCAAGAACATATACATTCCATTTTCTTAATCTCAATGAAATACACGGCCCCAGTAGAAATACAAATCCTCTGATATAATAATATATGCAACTGGGTAAATAGGCGTTGTTTATCAGAAGCGTTTCTAGAGATGTATCCAAAATATCTGCCCTTTCTCGGCTGTGTAAGTTTCACTTTCTCTAGCATCTCTAACCAGATGCTGTAACAAACACAAGCAGAAGATGTAGGATGAAGCTCAGCAATGAATTTACAAGCAGAGGCTGGCCAAAGCTGCATACATTTTGCAAATGCAAAATCATATGCAGAGCTTAAGAGTGTAGAAGCTTTAAACACTAGCTGTCCTTTGCGGAGATCTGTCATGTAACACTAAAGGCCAAAAAAGCAAAAAAAAAACAAACCCAAAAACCCCAACAAAACAAAACAACAACAACAAAAAACAAAAACAAAAAAAAACAAACCACCAAAACAACAGGAAAAACAAAACAAAACAAAATTCCCCAAATCTCTGTGAAGTTTCTGGGCTGATTTTATACGCACACAATCTACACGTAAATGCAGTTGGAAGTCATGGGGAATCCCAAATGAGAAATTCTTCCCAATTTCTGCAGAAATCCAGGCAAAGAAATAAATTTCAAGTTTATATGTTAAAACCTAAAAATACCTCGCAGTCATGGCTCTCGACATGCAACCCAATGAAAACATCTGCATAACAACCTTATCAAGATACTTAAATCCATCAGAGTTCTACACATTATGCAATTATGCTGAGAAGTGGATGATCAAGGTATGTCTGTAAAGCGTCCTCTGCACCATGTTGTTTTGGACAGTTGGATTAAGATTTTGGAAACTCGTTTACTTTAAAAAATAAACAAATATTCACACATGTTAAGCTGAATGCACGTACCACTAATGTAGATAAAAACTTGGGCTGAGAGAAACCATTTAGCATTCCAGAGTACCCCCTAAGATTACATATTTTTGTTTTCCAAAACTCAGCATTCAGGTGCTAGGTTAGGGGGTCAGGGTGTGGGAGAAAAGAAGAAAGACTACATGAGAAACTGTATGAAGAAAGTGTTTCATCCAAACCCTTTAAAAGTACCAAATTCTTTATAGCACAGTTCCTATTGCTTTACTGTTTTAGACCTGTGCTTAACAGAGTAATGTAGACCTGGATATAACCTCCAAAGGAAAGAAAAAAGGATTTGAAATAAGGCATCCTGAATTTTCAAAGGGCTCTTTCTTCTAATCTATCTGCTTGGATAATGTGCCCAGAGTGGCATTTTGTAATGACAGCAACTTTCCAACAAATCAATAGTTATTTAATTCCCAACAAGCTCTTGAGTCCATTAAACCTGATTACATTCACCCATTTCAGTTGGGTGCAGTTATTTTTCCTACACCAGCACTTAATCTATAACAGGAACTTATGAGAACTTTCAAAAGCAATTTCAACATCAATCAGTATAGAGTGAAAGGCACGATTTGCTTGTAATTATTTATTGGACAGGATGGCAAAGGGCCTGACTGAGCTCTGGTGTCCGACCTTCACCCCCAAATTCTAATGGATATTAAGGCCTGCTTGATGTGTTCATGTGTGCTACTGGGTCTCACTATATTAAAAAAAAAAAAAAAATATATTATCAGCTTGCATGTGCCAGCAGACATTTTTTCAATACTTGATAATAGCCACTGTGCAATGCTATTTTTCTTTTTTAGACATATATGTCTGATATGAAGCCTGAAGTGAAGAATAATTCATGATCTTGGAATGCCAAATGGACATATACAAAAAAAAAAAAAAAAAAAAACCTGTTTCATGTTTTGATTTCACCTCTACACCTACCAACTATTATTGTAGCAAAGGAGCACAACAAAAATTTTAAACAAAAGCCTCTCCTCCAAAGTTAATGTGACTGACTGCTACCAAGACACAGAAATGCAGAACCATACAGTATTGTCTCTCGAGCCTTTTTATACGTAGCAGCCATAATTCCCACCTATAGGAGACATTTGGGAAATGCTTGAAAATTTTACTCGAATTCTCTCTTTGAATTTTTTACTACTAAAAACAATGGAATAGCTTTTGCTTTATTAATGCTTACACGATCTATAAAAATCTTAAGTCTAACAACAGAAAATTCCACTTTTTGATAAAATCATTATAAAAACAGACATCACAGCAACAGTAAGTACATCCAGTAACTGCCAGTTAACTTCTAAAACATAAAACTCTCTCTCACAAGCAGGATTTTGCACTCTCTTGGCTCAAAAGTAACACAGGTAGTCTACAATATATTTTTACATACACAAAACCCCACAAACCGCTCTTCATTCAGCAAGATGCATAACATATTAATTAATGCTTATTTAACACTATACATACATGCTGTGCTAAAACACTTAACCTAAACACATCACGGTAAGTTACTTTGTCTTATGATCTGCCGTGGGAATGCTGAGTCCCTCAGAAACGCAGAAGGGATAGCAAATCCTCTGCCCTGTGGTCAACCTCGTGAAGCAAAGGCATGAATGTTAAATAGCAGACAAATCAATAGAAGCAAATATAGCTCAACTACACCATTTATTCAGCCATGAGAGATGTCAATACACAGATTAGGGTGATCCATCTTTTTGATTTCCTACTGTCTTCTCACCGAATACATGAGAGCTTTTGCTTGTATTAAAAGTGTTTGCTTTCTCAACCATAAAAATTCCAATTATTACTCTAAGTGCACTAGAGTTAAGTTGCTTGTTGGAAGCGGCCTTGCATTACCTGAACAAGTCCAGCGAAGTATGGTGCTGCCGGCAGAATCATTGGCACTCCATATGGATGTAGCAAAACTCCTTGAGACGACAACATGGTTTAAGTGATAGTATTACTCCCACTAAAGCTAAACACATCAATTGAAAGTTAGGGGAAAATCTATATACCAACTTCTTCCAAACTCAGAGCTAGAACCAAATAACTTCTGTCAGGGGCAAAGCCCACATCAGCTGTAAAAAAAAGAAAAAAATTGACGTCAGCAACTCTTAATGTTAAATTTTTCTTCAGAGACAACAGATAGAGACAACAGCTGCAAAGCTAACTCTACCAAAAAAGGAAGGTGCTATTTTGGGACCAGCTTAAATAACATGACTAACCAACTACTCTTTATCAGTTCAGATTAAGTAATAAACACATACAGTTCAAACTCCCCAACCTGGATTTCAAACAGGATTAGAACTAATAATGATATATGAATTGACATATATATGACAACAGTCGCTATCAGAAGCTTAAAAAAAAAAAAGCTTTATTATGATTGTGTAAATTACTGCTTCTTTGTATTTATTAACTGTTAAACAATATTCATGTGAGAGTTGAAACTGAAGCCTGTTACATTTCGTACGTATTGTTTTGATTCATTGTATTTTTCTTGCTAATTTTGAATACTAGAACTAGCTATCGCTAGCTAACAACTTCTTAGTGTACATTATATTTTAACGGCTTTTCTAACCTTTCACAACATCTATGTTGTTGCATTTATCACAGCTTTTTGAAAAAGACGAATTTGACCTTTAGAGAATTTCATTCTCTTCTCCAATTAAACTCAGACTCAGTGTAAGAGACAAAAGGGATGAATTCAGCCTGATTTTTTTTTCCCCTAAGCAAAACAGATCTGCTGCTCAATGCACTATTTGCAAATAATTCTCTTCTACACCTAATCATTTTTACTTCAGACAAAACAAACAGTCATTAACATTCGTTACATATGCAGTATATATCCTCAATTGCAGATATAAATTAATGACAAGAATTAAAATTGAGCAAGGTATTTTTAATTCAATTAAGAATCAGGTGTTTAAAACTTCATGTTACAAGTTAGGAAAGTATTTGTCATCCTCTCCTACAGCTTCTGAATAACCAGGGTGCTCCACATCACTAACTTAAGCTACTTGATTTTGTTGCTTAATTACTTTTCCAGATAACTAATTGCACACAAGATTTGATGTGATATTCAATTATTTAATGTCACATTTTGACCATCAGGAAAGGTTTTCAGTAATTGATTCTCATGTATCACAGCAGCTGTATTGCGTGATTTAGAAATCTAACTTAGCAGGTGCATGTTGACCCTTGTTACTAACAGTCTTACACCATTTCTAACTTTAGATGTTAAATAGTGACCCTGTATGAGGCTTTTCTTAGAGGCTGCCAATGAGCACAGCAATTGTCATGTGATGATGCGATGTTTACCTAGGTCCATTTTCTTTTTATAGAGTGGCTTCACGTTTCTGTTGGGGATAATGCTGTTCACCTCACTATGCTCAGCTGCTTTTTATTTTTTCTTATTGAGAAATCTGTAGTTTAAATTATTAAGCAAACTCTAACCTGGCATTATTTGCCAAAAGATTATCAGAAATTTAAATACAATACCAGTTATAATCTTTCATACAGAAATACAGAAAAAATGTCATACAGAAATATATCAACGAAATACATATGTGAGAAAGTGCATTGCCATTGCAACTCATTTAAAATTATTTCACTTCTTAAAGTATATGCTTCAATTTTAACCATTACCTTTTGCTTGGTCTAACAGTAAGCTGCACTTGAAAAGAAAGTTTCTTTCACCTTGCAACAGAGATTATAAAATAGGGTTTGCAAACTTTATTTAAATGATTCCAACAGGACAACTGACATAACCACAGATAGGTGAGTTGCTCTGTAAAAACCAGTTTTTGTTTCAATACATTTGTAATTGATCTGATAGAAAACCAAAAGAGCAAGATGATCCGTATAGGAAAAAAAGCAGGCTCAAGGGAATGGTCAACATTTTCATTAATTATTTTGGTTGATTAAATTTCCCAGTGACAAAGTTGGAAAGTTAATGAGGACGTTAAGAGTTATAGAAAGGAATCTACATGCATCTATAGGAAGAACTGCTCAATTGCAACAGCTGTAGAGGAAATCCTTTATGTGTTATTCAGGTAAATGGAAAAACTGTGTCATAATAGGAAATAAAAAAAACTAAGAACACATGGAGAAAATGGGAGGAAGAAACTTTTTAAGATAAGGGCAATTCTGGAACACTTACAAAAAAAAGCAAAAAAAGCCAATTCTAATATGTAGTTTGGTGTTGAATAAGTGAGGTTACAGAACAGCTTTTCCAATCCAATATCTTGTCAAATGAATCTAGTGACATTAGGCAGCAGTAGTCTGAACTCTTCAACTCAGAAGACTGCCCTTCCAGTCTTTTCCAAATAGTATAAACATTCAAGAATAATGAAAATGTAAAGTGTTTTAAAAACATTTATATTCACTACATTTGAGATTGGAATATGTAAAAATAAACTTTGAAAATAAACTGTAGTTACCTGTTTTAATGAAAGGATGCTTTGCTTGCCTCACTATAACAACATGGTTCTAAATTGTATAGCTGTATGGCACTCCAACTCCAAGCTCTGACTTTCTGGTTGGGCTCTTTGATGATGTCCCATGTGTGCACCAGCTACCTAAGTTCGCACAAACCTCTGTGAATCAAAACCACAGAAGTACATACAGCTTTACTTGCATCTCCATCCCGTGCCAAATTCTGAATTTACGCCAATGTAACTAATCACGTTCACCAGTACATACCAACAGACTTGTTTTCACAGTAAAGTCTCCCTCCCAACCACACAAAATGGAAGTTTCTTCAGTTTTACTGTTAGCGTTAATAGTCACACTTGTTCTGCAATAATTCTTGGAACGTATAAAATATCATTATAAGAAGTGCTGACAACACATGGAACAAGCCAGAAGAGAATTAAATATGCTAATTCTATCTTACTTTAGCATAACCAAAGCCAGATTAAGGCTAAGCATGAGCCTAGAAGTTTTTACTAGCAAAAAGTTAGAATGCTCAGCGCTGCGCACACTAATCGCTTATCTGAAGTCACTGATGGTTACAGTGGCTACATCAGTATTTTCACTGCCTGCAAAAATTGCAGATCACCTATCTCAAGCAACTCCACAGCTCTCACTTTCACACATTCTAGAAAATTATAACATTGCTAAAAAAAAAAAGTACACGCTAAGCCATTTGCAGTATGCTGAGGGCATGGTTCTATCAGCTGCTTCCAAACCCAGAAGTGTTTTTCCATTAATATTTTTTACGGATTTTCTGATACTGAAAATTGAATAAACGAAAGACAAGAAAAAGGGAAAGAGAAAATAGATGAAAGATACTTTTAAGCAGAATATGTAAACAGAAATAAAGTGGTGGTTTGTTTTTTTAACAACAGAATGTTACTAAAAGACAGAAGACAGATATTACACATGGAAATAAATCCTGAAGATTCTGAAGTGTACTGTATACTAAAAAACAATAGGAGCAATATAATTCTTTTATCACGCTAGCCTGAACAGTCCCAGCTTTCACCACCTGAGTAATAGCTAAGAAGCTCATAAAAATTCAGGTATTTAAAAATTTTTTGCCACAATAACACAAGGTACTATGTGAATTAATTAAACGACTTCAATTATTCTACAGATGGACCAAACAAAAATCAAACTTCCAAAATCTAACATAGTAATTCCATTATGAACTTGCCTCCTAGAAAGAAACTGATCTGAATAGCCGAGCTGAAGAAGTCAAGAATGCTAAGGTAACAGTAGAAAGTCAGCTAATGCTACAGTGAGGAATAAAACAAAAAGGTGTTGTGCTTTAGACATATTTCCTTCTCAGGTCTTTACATCTAATGCCCTAACATCCGTAGTTTTGCTCCTGAAGTGCAAAGGGCATTGGGACACCACTCTCAGACATAGAGTTTGGGTAGTCCTAAGTGGAGCCAGGACTTGGATTCCATGATCCTTGTGGGTTCCTTGCAACTTGGGAGAATCCAGGATTCTATGGCGTGATCCCATGAAACCATGCTTTTCCACCAAGGCAAAATTAGATGCTTATTCATGCTGTGGTTGGAGATAAAGAATAATTTAATAACTTTTTTGGAGCCACATTGCCTGGAAAAGGCAGATCCCTGCAATGCAGTCATCAGCCAATCAATGTGTGCTTTAATCTGATCCTGACAGAACTGATCTATTCAGACCACATTCCTGCCAAATAATTAATACTTCTTAATGCTTGTATCTAGCCACAAAGAAAGGTTCTTCCAAACACTGTACAATACCAACAAACGTCAAATAATTCCTACTCCCTTCCAACATTAGGCTAAATTTCCCATTTCACATATCATAAATAATTCAAGTTTCACTTTTGCATCCTCTTTATGGCTTATGCTATTTCATATTTGATACCTCTTAGTTCTTCTTTAAGCCTCCTTTTTTCTGGCCACCTTTCCTGTTCTCCATTTTCTCATTAAATTTTCTCATCAGTTTTCCAGTATAGGAAAATTCAGAATGAAGAAAAGAACATAGTTTCCAGGTCTCTTTGGGTAGTTTTCCATCATCTGCAGCAACTTAAGAATACTGGCTCAACAAAAGCATTGCCAGATTTGTTCCGACTCCCCTGCAATGAACAGGGACATCTATAGTTTTATCAGGTTGCCCACAGCCTAGTCCAGCCTGATCTTTAATGTCTCCAGGGACAAGACATCCATCACATCTCTGGGCAACCTGTGCTTCCTTACCCTTATCATAAAAAAAACTTTTTCCTTTTATCTAGTCAAATTCACCCTCTTTTAGTTAGAAACTATTTTCGTCTGTCCTATCACAACAGCCTTTGCTAAAAGGTCTGTTCCCGTCTTCCAAATAGCAACCCTTTGGATTCTGAAAGTCTGCTACCAGGTCTCCCCAAAACCTCATCTGGGCTGAACAGCCCTAAGTCTCTTGGTCTGCACTCACAGGGGAGGTGTTCCATCCCTTGAATCATTTTTGTTGCTTTCCACTAGACATGCCTCAATAACTCCACTTCTCTCCTGTAATGAAGACTCCACATCTGGATGCAGTACTTGAGGTAATGTCTCACCAGCACAGGGCAGAGGGACAGGATCACCTCCCTCAACCTGT